GCGGCACCTCTCGGTAGGCAAAGAGAAGGTGTGGCAGGAATCACTCCCAATCCTTATATGCCCCCGTGAACGACTTGAACATTTGCTTTAGCGTCCCGTTGAAGCGTTCGCACAGGCCATTAGTCTGGGGGTGATATGGGGAACTAGTCAGGGATTTAACTCCACAGACTTTCCATATCTGCTGGGTTACCTCGGCTGTGAACTGCGTACCTTGGTCGGACAGAACCTCCTTGGGAAAACCCACTCGGGAGAATATCCTGACTAGCGCATCTGCCACTGTCTCAGCTTGTATGTTAGAAAGGGCCACAGCTTCGGGGTAACGGGTGGCGTAATCTACCACAGTGAGGATATAACGTTTGCCGGAACGGCTAGGTTGGGCCAGGGGTCCTATGATGTCCACGGCTACCCTCGTGAACGGTTCTTCAATTATGGGCATGGAAACCAGTTTAGCCTTCGGATGGTCTCCCTTTTTACCTATGCGTTGACAGATCTCGCACGTCTGGCAATACGCCCGGACGTCGTCGGATACCCCAGGCCAGAAAAAGTTCTGGGTTACCCGATATCCCGTCCTGCGTATTCCCAAGTGTCCTGCCAGAGGAACATCGTGCCCAATTCTTAATAACTCCCGCCGGTATTTCCGTGGAACTACCAGCTGGCGTTTTTGCCTAGGCCCAGGTGCGTTAACCCGTGTCTCGGTGAGCCTGTACAAGCGGCCTTTTTCCCAGATAAACTGCTCCTTCTCTAACCCCCCCTTTCCCCTCCTGGCTTTCTCTCGATACTTTCTGAGGGAAGGGTCTCCGGTCACCTCCCGCCCAAAGTCTTCTGGGGTGTCCCAGGGTAGGGGTTCTATAGTCAGGGGTAGGTTTACCTGGGTCTCAGTAGGAAGCGGATGGCTCTCGGCAGCGCGACCTGGTGCTCTGGTGGTTACTGCGTGGGCCTCCTGAGCATTGGTTGAGGCGAACGCCGAAGTCAGGTGGCCAATGTCATTGCCCAACACGACTTCAGAGGGTAAGTCTTTCATTACGCCCACGTGAACATTGCCAGCTTTCACACCCCAGTCCAGGTGTACTTGTGCGGTAGGAATGCGATACACTGCCCCCCCGTCACTCTTACAGCAATTGATTTCCCCGGCTTCTCCGATGCGTTAATGAGATGTCGTTGCACTAGCGTGATGGTCGCACCACTGTCTCTTAATCCCCGTGCTGTCTTGCCGTTAACCATGACCAGTTGACAATGGTGTTTCCGATTGTCTGTGATGGTGGACTGTGCCATGAGGGCTTCATAAAGGGTGCCCAATGGTTCTTCCTGACTCAGCTCCTTGGGGTCCCAAGTCGAGTCTACACAATGGGCTGCTGCTGGTGGTTGGTGGTACACAGGTCGAGACCAATTTGACCTGGTGTTGTCGTCTATGGGGCAATTCTGTCGGATGTGACCCAGCTGTTTGCAACGGTAGCAGCGTAGCTCGCTGTCAGCCTGTCGTGGATAGCGAGAGTTAGAAGTCACTGGTCGGTTAGGAGGTTGGTATCTGGCTGCTGGTGGGTGTGATGGCACTGTTGGTCGTGCGACCTGGGTAGTCTTGCGAGTATCCGCATACTCATCCGCTAACTTGGCGGCCTCTGGTAGGGACATGGACCTACGGTCTCTCACCCAGTCTTTGACATCTGCCTGGATATGGTTGTAAAACTGTTCCAGGAGTATCAGTTGCAAAATGTCCTCCGCGGTGGTTGCTTGGCTACTGTTAACCCAGTTAGAGGCCGACAGGGATAACTGGCATGCCCATTCTACGTAGGAGCCTTTAGCGGTTTTGCGTGAGTCCCTGAACTTCTGTTGATAGGACTCTGGAGTTACTGCATAACGAGCCAGGAGCGCTTCTTTAACCCTGGCGTAGCTATGGATCTCCTGTTCTAGTACGGCCTGGGAAGCATCAGAGGCTTTGCCTGACAGCTTTCCTGCCAATATCGAAACCCATTCTTCCTTAGCTACTCGGTGCAGGTTACACTGTCGCTCAAAATCTGCTACATAATTATCAATCTCACAGTCTTTTTCATCAAAAGCTTTAAAAGCGCTGAACGGAATTTTCCTTGTATCCGCTGTGTTGTACTCACTGTTTGGGGAGTGTGCTGCTGCCTGCTGGACCGCTGCCAGTTTTAATTGCAGATCTGCGTCTCTTTTTTGTCTAGCCTCCTCTGCTACAAGGTTCATTACTTTCAGAACAATGTCAGCCGTTGGGTTCGGACCGAACCACGCTAATTTCTCCCTCATCTCTTTGTTGGCTGGTGATTCCTCCTCCTGAATCACTGGTGTCTCCATCTCCTGCACAGCTGGCATTGCTGCAACCAAGTTCTCTCGGTCTAGCTCCATTAACTCTGCTATAATGACCCGTGAGTTTTAAGATGGCCGCCATCCTTTGTTCTCGCCACGTGTTCGTATGCCGAATGGCGGCCACCTAGCAGCAATTAAGTCGCGGTTTTCTCTGCGTTCTAATGCTGATTGCTACCCAGGGTGGGTGGTCTCCGTTCGGTAAACGAATACATTCATTCAATACATAGTGAAACAAACTGATACAGGCATTTAAACAGCAGGGAGAAGGTTTAACTGAAAGCACACAGGTAAGTACATGAAAATCCTTCACAATGCATAATACTAATGAATGAATTGCTGGGAATTTTAACAGCTGAAGTCAATGGCACTTGGCAATCCAATCAGCTCGTCACACATACAAGCTCAGTGAATGGACACAAAACAGCGAAGTAGTGAAGTTGCAAATAAATGTTGATATAACATATCAGATGATATAGATATCCTAGCACATAGCATTAGAATCATCAAATATCTTGGATATTTGTCAAAAGTTACTAATTATCACTAGGCAGACATTATACCTCACTTGGCATTGATAAGAAGGAAGCAGGTTATGAAATATGAAAGTCAGCTTGACTGAGTTGCGGTTTTGTTTATGTTTGTTCCCTAAAACATTTCCTGAATGGGAAGCATCTGGTGCAAGGTTATTTGCACAAACAAGTTAGAGATAAGATATATTGTAATACTGTCTTAATATAAATGACTATTTAAGCAGCTTTGAACAGTAAACAAGAAAATGGATGGTGAGTACAAAATGGCGGGTTGGTTATATAAATTTATCCTTTTATGTTACGGGCAAATGCAAATATTACAAGTTTTAGAATGAAATGTTGTATTTCTTAAACTGTGTACTTTGTCTTTAAGAGATATTGCAAATTGACAAGTTGTTAGAAATGGAACATATTGTTTTTCATAGATGTTTCTTTAAGCAATAACCTCAGTGCATAATATGTTTGCGCCATTTTGTCCCAGACGAATTACAATAACAATAATGCATAAACAAGCTTCAAGGCTATGCTACGACTCTTTCAGTACACAATATACTGTGTTAACCCCAAGTTAATGGAACTTCCCCAAATCCGGGAATCTCCCACAACAGTACACTTACTACTTAGTATAAACAACAGATAACCTATTCAGACTTTAAGATGCCATCTTGAACTAAGTCAGGAAAATTTCTATGACGTTTGCACCCTTTAGTTATGGCCTTGTATGTTTGCTAAGTTAAGGGAGGTCCTAAAATGAATAAAGTAAATGAACTACGGTAACCCTAAAATGGAGACACCTAAGGTATAAATAGGTGTACTTTTAAATGTTAAGACACAGAGGAGAGACTTAGAGACAGATGCTGCTCCATCTTAAAATGACAGAGAGGCTGACAGGATGACATGTTCAGAAGGGTATGTTAACCTATTAATGATATTTGCAAGCATGTAATTTAATCTTATAAACTCTGCTATAATGGATTTTATATTTATATTTTTATATAATAAATATCCAAAAAGACAAAACTATTGCTTCCAAGACAATCCTTATTTTATATTGTATTCTCAATTATTTATATGTAGAAATACCATTAGGCCTGAATTTGTGGGAGGAGTAAGTCCCCTACTTAAACACCCAGCCCCTACTCACCTCTGACGTTCGAGTTCAAGTGTTTCTTGTTCTACTTCCGGTTCGCGTGTGTCGGCAGGTTCGCTTCACTTCCGGTTCGGGCGTCTGACGTATTGGCTGCACGGCGGAATTCCTCCGTTCTTCGGCGGTCCGGTCTTGGCTTTCCGGCCAAATCGTGAGTTACTGCTTCACATTCCGATCCCCACCACACCGCACGGTGGTCTCATCAAGGGACCGGAACGCACATTCAGTAAAATTTTACCGGGGACCACCCACGGTCCCCCATTCACGTCGGCATTTAGGCGGCACTTTGTACACCCGCCACGGGGTCCAACAGCACCCCCCAACAACAAACATTTTAACAGCCAATAAATAAATACATTCGGGGAGTAATCATGCTGCTAATAAAATCAGCCTGTTAAATAAGAATACTGCATTCTATGTGGGATAGTTAAGTTAATATTAAGCAAATTATTGTCTACTAAAAAATTTCATTCATTCTGTTCATTGTATTAAATCACATACCCAGTTTGGCCAGTCATCGCCACCTAGTGGTTCTTATGGTATTTTCTGTCTTATTCTGTTTAATTATATGTCCCCTGCAAATATTATGCACGACATATGTATTACAAAAACTCTCATCAATACTTTCCATTATATTTTTCGTGTATCAGTTCACAGACCTAGTTTATTGGGCTGACATCGCCACTTAGTGGTTTCATGGTACTTGCTGTTTTATTCTGTATAATATGCAGCTTCCCTGCAACTAAATGACTAATCACACAATGTTATACGATGCCTTAACGTGCAAATTAATCTCAGCCCTGTTAAATAATCTCTTTTGATCTCCACAGATCACACTTTGCCATATTATGGCTTAAATTGCTATAAAAAAAACCGGGGTTCTTATCCTTAAATCCAGGTTTCCATTCTACGCTAGCACCAACCGTTTTGCTATTTCTATATTTCAAAACCTGATTCTTGTCCTTTAATCCAGGTATAGTATTTATTTTACCTTAATTTCTGTTTGAGGAAACTCAGGCAGCCAACAATTTACATTTGTCAACTAACTCTGCGCTCATACGTTACGCCCACTCAGATTTACATCTGTCTCAAACCCTTAGGTTCTACTACGATAGCATCAACAGCTTGCCTCGTCTAAATTCGGAGGAAAACCTTGCTATTTTGTACCTTATATCCAGGTATAGTTTTCTTCAATCTTCAGTACATTACTGCAGTTCCCATGTAAGGCCTCAGACAGCCTTCACGGTCCTTTTGCCACTCGTTTTACCCGTCCATGCCCCCCATTAACTCATATTTCGCCTATTCGCCACGCTCACTCAGACCTACATCTGTCTCAAACCCCTTAGGCTTCTGCTACGAAATCACCAACCACTGGACCTCTCTCTCATATACTTGAAGAAACAAGTCCACGGGTATAATCTCTATCAAGGTTAGTACCCTACCAGCACATAAACGCCAATTTATCCCATAGTTGTTACGTGAACTGGCTCACAGGGTCTGAACGTCAGACCTAGCTCACCGAGGCATTTACAAACCATCCCCCAAACCTCAACACGGAGGTATGGCCCTACGCCCAAATCATAGTTAATCGCCTCATTCGCTCTTCTACAGGGCCGTAGTCAGGGCCTCACTCGTCACGGCCACACGTTTGAACCTTTTAAATGTCACCGAGAGGCCAACATCCCGCCACCACATCTGTGGCAACATATTCCACTTCGCCCAAATCATAGATAGAGCCTCTCGCCGCCACTTGGCATTAGCAGGGCCTCAACCGTCACTAGTCTAAGTTAAGTTTTTCACTTCGGCATTAATCCTACAGCCCAGTTCACATAAGCAATTTCCCCCCCCCCCACCCCTTGTAATAGTGTCTCAGACGCCCCTACTAAACCCTACTCATTTAATTCATTTCTAGAATGTCGCAAGACACATCTCCCATGGGTGAAGTACCTGATGAGGATATAATATCAACTCCTATCAGACCAGAGTCCCCAGGAGTATCTCTCGCCCCTTCTACCCCTACGTCTTTGAGAGCATGGACTATACCTAAAATCACGGCCGAACTTAGGCTCAGGGGCATCCCCTTTCCGGCTACGGCCCGAAAGGCGGAATTATACAGACTGTTGACCAACCAAGCCCCAGAGCCTAGGCCAGGCACAAGCTCTCAAAGTCAAGCTTCTGGCGCTGGCATTGCCACCCAGGACACCCTTGCGGCAATCCTGGCCAACCTGCAGACCTTAAACAGCAGGTTAAGCAAGGTGGAACGTGCCATAGCCTCCCCAGGTAACCTTCCTGTTTCTATAGCCCCAATCCTGGCTGTACCTATGGCACCAACACCCTTCCCTACACTTCCCCCTCCAGCTCCTGCTCCAGTCATGTCGCCTTTCATGTCACCAGCTCACTCCGTCCCAGACTCCATTAGGAAGGAAATCCTAGATGGGAAGGATGTGTGTCTGGTGTCATTACTTATTGCCTCCCAAGACGTACTGGAGAACAGGGCTTATAATTTTGGTGATATCTCGGTGGTTCTTAAAACCAGAGACCCAAGGCTCAACAAAAAGTTGTCAATTCCCAATTTCATGTTGGCCTTCGGGATATACCGGGATGTCATCTGCTCGGTATATCCCCACAGGAGAGAGGAACTGGACCTCTATCTCCATAAAGTGGTGGATTTGGGCGTTAAGTACGGGGGCTCATCTTTTTACGATTATCATAAATCGATATCAGCGAAAGCGGCGACCCATCTGAAACAGTTTAATGTAAGAATTAACTGGTGTCAGATGGATACAGAACTATTCTGTCGCCACTTCGCTGGTCTGAGGCCCCCGTCTTGCCATATGCAATTCCTCAACCCACTTGGCCGATTTGTGCCCTTCTATGGCTGACCCATCCACCCCCACTACCACCCCTCAATCCTCTTACACTCCTCACCCTAAACAGGAAGGCGGACAGAGGGATAAACTAGGGAGGCCCATCTCCTTTTTGGGGAAGGCGCAGGTGTGCAACAACTTCAATGCAGGTTCCTGCAGCTTCAGCGCTTGTAGATTGTTGCACATCTGCTCCATCTGTTTCAGGGCACACACTAAGACCATGTGTCCGGCCAGGTTGTCCCATAACAAATGACTAACCGACGTTAATATCGACAACCTGGCCTTTTACCTTAAAGATCACCCAAGTAAACATCTGGTGGAGTATCTAATAACAGGGTTTACCCAGGGTTTTCACACGGGTCTCGTGGCCATCCCCTCAGGGATACTGGAATGCCCTAATCTCCTATCAGCCTGTCTAGACCCGGAGGCCACGGACGTTCTCCTCTCCACAGAAATAACTCAAGGGTTCATGATCGGCCCCTTCACCTCCTCACCGTTTTCCTCCTGGCGCACTAACCCTATTGGTATAGCTGTACACAAATATTCAAATAAAAAACGTATGATTATTGATTTATCGGCACCGCACTTCTCTTTTGTTCCTAGCATCAACGCACTCATCCCCGCAGACGAATTCTCACTACAATACGTTAAAATAGACGACGCCATACAATCCATCATATCAACTGGCAGCAACGCTTGGCTTAGCAAAACAGACATTACCAACGCTTTCAAACTACTGCCCATACACCCATCACTTTGGCACTTGCACGGTGTTAAATGGCGAAACAGGTACTATTTTTCCACGCGCCTCACTTTCGGTTCCAGAAGCAGCCCCAAACTCTTTGATATTTTCGCGGAAACACTATGCTGGCTGCTTCTGAACATTATTAGGTGTCACGCCGTCATTCACTACTTGGATGACTTCCTCACCATAGAACCTAGCACACGCACACCCACCGATATCCGCAGCACCTCTGCACTTTTCTCCACCCTCGGGGTACCGTTATCTCCCGCTAAAACAATTGGCCCCACCACTAAACGCACTTTCTTGGGCATAGAGCTAGACTCTGCTACCTTCCGCGCCAGCCTTCCCACTGAAAAACTCATCCGCCTGAGAGGGGAAATAGACATGTTCCTGCGGAGCGATGTATGCACCAGGAAAGAACTTCAGTCCTTATTGGGGTCCCTGAATTTCGCAATGCGCATCGTTCCGCAGGGCAGATCTTTTGTGTCCAGGCTCCTTTGTCTGCTTCACGGGGTACCGGACGCCTGCCCAATTGCATTGGACCAGCACGCCAAAGCTGACCTAATCATGTGGGGGCAGTTTCTGTCCCTATGGAACGGTATCTCCATGTTTATTCCCCCCTCTCAGACTCCTCGCCCTGCATTTACACTGACGCTGCAGCCAACACGGGTTTTGCAGCTATATTTGGTAATCACTGGTTTAGGGGTCACTGGCCAGCTGAGACGGATGCCTTGCCGGGGTTTAGAGAAACTTCAGCTCTATTTGAGATTTACCCCATTGTGGCAGCCGCACACACTTGGGGTCACCTCTGGTCCGGCAAGGCAGTAAAGTGTTATTCCGACAACTCGTCAGCTTGCGATATCATCAACAAAGGGCGCTCATCCTCTCTTACTATTATGCGGCTGATTCGCAAGCTGACCTGGTTGGCAGCAACCGTCCAGTTCCACCTAATTTGCCTTCACATCCCGGGTATTCACAACACGGCTGCTGACGCTCTGTCTTGATTTCAATTTCAGGTGTTTTTCCAGGCACTCCCGTCAGCCCACCACCAACCATCCAGAACACCGAATTTTCACGAGCTAATCTTGGATTAAATACACTTATGCACCACGCTAGGACACTTACGCACCAAGCACTATCACCAAACACTACTATCACCTACAGTAGGGCACTCACCATTTTCAACAAATTTACTGCTGAATTCGGATTACAAGGTGATTTCTCAACCCAAACTATGGTGGCTTTTGCCTCTTTTTTTTTTTTTCCGATTTGACAATTTTTATTTTGTCATATATCAAAAAGCAGTATATGGGGGGTACAGAACGAAAAGGGGAGGTGGGGAGGGATCTAGGCAATATTGTTTACACGTACAACTTTCTGCCTTGGATAAGTACATTGTATAGTCCACAATACACATTTCGCGTTCCACAATTTCCAATGTTAGCGTATACAATTTTAACCTTTACACTTTTAACATTCACATTTTCCCAATCTGTATTTGCTACCTTTCTCGGAGTCGCAAGTGTAGTATGGCGTGCTGGTCATAATATCGCCATTTGTGTGTGTTGTTGGACTAGCGTCTAGTGGGTAAATTAGCTTTGCGATATGTGTGTGGTGTTGCTCGACCTTATCCCGTGCGTATTGTACAGACCCCATGTCACTGCATGTTGGTCACCTTCAGGGAAACTGGTTTCTTTTCCCCTCAGGAGCTTTGCGTAATGTGGTTGCCTGGTGGCAGTGTCTGGGCAAGGCGTACGTGAACTACTAGCGGGGTGTGTACTAGAGTGGCTGTCTAGATACTTATTGAGTTGTAGCTAGATAATTGTTTGGGGGGGTTGGGGGTAGGGTGTGCAGAGAAGGGAAGGGAAAGAATTAAGGGAAGAAAGGGGAAGTGATTTAGTTTGTGGAACTTTTGAAAATGGTGCTCCTCTTTGCCCTCCCTCTGGGCCTATGTTTCCTAGTTGCTAGTTCTGCCTTTCTACCTCCAATGTACCATCGGTTCTATGTATTAGGACATCCTCCCAGGTCAAGTCTCAGACATTTCCTGTCTCTCTGGCTTTGGTTCTCTACTCAATCTCCCGTGTCTTAGCGTACCTATGCGTCCTGAGTTCTAGAGTGGTGTGAACTTCTCTGGATGTATTTTGCCCATTTGTTTTTTTGTGTCTATGATCGTGTGGTTATTTGTAATGTATTTGTTTGCCATAGCCTCATATTCCCAGTTTGTGGTTGTTTGTGTTAGAAGATCGTGTTTGCTGGGTGCTTGTGGTTGTTTCCAGTGTCTGGCTATCAGGGTTACTGCCGCTATGAGCACGTGGAATATCAATTGTCTTTCCTGCTTGTGCCATTGGGCAAGATGCATGAATAGTATGCCCTGTTCGGGCCCCAAGCTGTAAGGGTGGCCTATCACGTCAGTGATTATCTCTTCCACCATCTCCCAGTATGGAGTGATTATCGGGCACGTCCACCAAATGTGGTACATTGTCCCCCTTTCTCCGCAACCCCTCCAGCATTCCCCTGAGCTTCCCGGGTATAGTTTCGCTAGTTTGTCCGGGACCATATACCATCTGTACATAATTTTCCTCATTGTTTCTAGGTGTGTCGTGCATGATGTGTGCCCTTTGTGTGTTTGGAATGCCTGTTTCCAGTCTAGGTCTGCTATCGGGTGTCCTATGTCTTTCTGCCAGGCTTCTCTAAAGTCTCCATGTCCGTTTGTATTTACTGTATTCAGGAGCGCATATATTTTTGACAGGATTTTTTTGGGTATACTGCCCTGTAGGCATAGCTGTTCTAAGGCATCA